TCGAGACTCGCGTGGTCTACAAAGCGAGTTCCAGGACAGGCTCCAAAGCCACAGAGAAACTCTGTCTAAACTCCCCCGCCAAAAAGAATCTAGAGATGAGACCATCCTTGGTTGAAGAGGTAGGCCGGGAGAGGGGGCAACCACCTCATTCTATTGACAATTGTCCTTGTAGGAGAAAGGCGAGAGATGTCTGAATGATGGTGACATAGAACAGAAGATCCTAACTGGGCATTGGTGGTGCACACCTTTAATCCCAGCACTCAGGAGGCAGAGGCAGGTGGATCTCTGTGAGTTCGAGGCCAGCCTGGTCTACAGAACAATTTCCAGAACAGGCTAGCCTCAATCTTCAACTTTCTCCCCTCACCTCAGCCTACGCAGAGTGCTGTGATTTCAGGCATGTGTCATGATGCTCAATGTTCTACTCTGTTCTAGACTGAACCTGTTTTGTTTGTTGTGTATGTGGTCCTGGGGATTGAACACAGGCCTCCTGCATGCCAGGCAAGAAGAGTTCTCCTCCGGAGCTATACCCCCAGCCTTTTGTTTTGTTTTTGTTTTTTGAGACAAGGTTTCTCTGTATAACAGCTCTGGCTGTCCTGGAACTTACTCTGTGGATCAGGCCGGCCTCCAACTCACAGAGATCAACTTGCATCTGCCTCCCAAGTGCTGGGATTAAAGGCATGAGCCACCACTGCCTGGCTCCTTTTTTTGTTTTTTAAATTCTGTTTTGAGATATGATCTCTCTAGGTAGCTCAGGCTAGCCTGTAACTTTTGATCCTTCTACCTCAGCTTCCTGAGTACTCTGGGCTTACTTACAAGTGTGAGCCACCATAACCAACTTCAACTAGTCTGGGTGATCCTGTTTGTGGGATGTTACTGAGGCAGCTATGACGAAATAATGAAGGTCCACACCGTGTGGAATTGTCAGTGGGGACACAGGGGACACAGTCCCGTCCCCCCCCACCCCCCCCCACTGTCAACCTCAGCTACTGGCAGAAGTTCTCCCAGGCGTTTAGGGACCTCCAGTCAGGCAAGACCAGGATTTTTGACTCAACACAGGATGGGCCAGTCTGTGAAGCTGATTTGGAGATTTTATTGAAGACATTTTAATGTAGATTTAAGAGTGCAGGTTAGAAGAGGAGGGGACTGGGCAGAACAGGCGAGACACACCTGAGAACATGTGCTCGAGGAGTCTTGGAAGGTAAGATACACCCAAATGTGGGCTCTTGGAGAGAGACTGACACATCTAAGTGTAGTTATACGTCCTGGGTAAGTGTATGTCAACCTGACACAAGCTAGAGTCATCTGGGATAAAGAAACCTCAGTTTAGAAATAGCCTCCATCAGATTGGCCTGTGGGCGTGTTAGGGCATTTTCTTGGGGGATGATTGATGGGGGAGGGCCCAGCCTACTGTGGGCAGTGCCACCCCTGGACTGGTGGTTCTAGGCTGTATGAGAAAGCAGGCTGAGCAAGCCATGGGAAGCAAGCCAGTGAGCAGCATCCTCCGTGGCCTCTGCACCAGCTCCTGCCTTTATGCTCCTATCTTGAGCTTCTGTACTGGCTTCTCTTATGATGGACTATAACATGAAAGCCAAATAAACCATCCCTCTCTGAGGTGTTTTTGGTTAGTGTTTTAGAAACCATCCAAGGTGAAGCTGGAGAGATGGCTTAGAGGTTAAGAGCACTGGCTGCCCTTGCAGAGGGCCTGGGTCTAGTTCCCAGCACCCGTGCGTTATCTCACAACTACCCACTGATCCAGTTCCAGGAGATTTGATGCCCTCTTATGGCCTCCGAGGGCACAGAATGTACGTGGAATACAGATATACACTCAGGCATATCACATAAAATAAAGTAAGTAAAAATATAAAAGATAGTATATGTACTTACTATATTCAAACGCTGGCTAAGATACTTTGGTTCTTGGTTTTTGTTTTCTTGAGACAGAATTCCATGTAAACCTCAGTATGCAGCTGAGGCTGGCTTTGAACTTCTGATCCTCATGGCTCCATTTCCCAAGGGCTGAGAATAAACACACCTGGCTTTGGGGACACTTTGAATTGCCCCACTGGCTGGGGTGCTGCTGGTATCAGTAAAGAGGAGAGGATGTCAGCTATCCTAAAGCACACAGCTCAAGCCAAGGACAAGAGTCCTATCCCACATGCCAGCAGGGCTGGGGTTGGGTTAGGGTGCAGCTTAGTTGGTAGAGTGCTTGTCTAGCATGCAGAAAGCCCTGGGCCCCCTCCTCAGCACCACATAAACCAGTCATGGTGGAGCATGCCAGTAACGCTAGCATTTCTAGAGGTGAGAGCAGGTGAATTAAAAGTTGGAGGTCGTGGCTGGTGAGATGGCTCAGTGGTTAAGACCACTGGCTTCTCTTCCAGAGGACCCAGGTTCAATTGCAATCACCCACACAGCAGCTTACAGCTGTCTGTAACTCCTATTCCAGGGGATCACACAGACATACATCCAAGCAAAATTTCAATATAAATAAAATACAAATAAATTATATATATAAAAAAGAAGTTGGAGGTCATTCTTGGCTGCGTATATGTTCAAGGCTGGTCTGGGCTTCATGAGACTCAGTCTCAAAAACAAAACCCAACGTGCTTGAAAGACAGTTCAGTAGTTAAGAGAGTCTACTGCTCTTCCAGAGGACCAGAGTTCAATTCCCAGTACCCACATGAGGCAGTTCACGACTGTCTGTAACTCCAGCTCCAGGAGATCAGAAACTTCTGACCTTTTTTCAGACACACACACCCAGCATGACTTTAAAATCAATCAATCAATCAATCAATCAATCAATCAATCAATCAATCAACCACAGTCCTAATTAACTCAGTGAATCACACACACAAAAGAAGACATGGAAAAGGTATGGCACTTGCTGGAAAGAAAGGTTCTGGACAGGGGAATGAGAGTGGGAACAGGGATGTGTGTGAAAATGTCTAAGTGCATTATATACGTATATAAAACTGTCAAGCAAACAACTGCAATAAAACCCAAAACGAAACAGTTCCAGGCTGAGAAACGCAGTCCATGGTATGGTACTGTTAAGGAGTGAAGCCCAAAGTCACAGACCCCAACATTGGAGCCCTGCAGTCTCCGGTGCTGCTGCAGATAGCTCCTGGACAGATCTCCACCCTCTTCTGCCTGGTCCTGCCCACCCAGTTCCTCCTGTCTGTCTGCCCTCTGTGAACCTGGGAAAGCCATCAAGTCAGGGTGTCTTACCACAGCCGAGCGAACACCCAGCCTCCACTCCTCGTGGGTCATTTAGTGTTTTCCCAAACAAGCCCTTTTCTTCCAGCCACAGAGAAATGTGAAATGACATTTTCTAAAAATGTCGCTTTGTAAAAATGCCAAGGCTAATCTCCAGGCACAAAGAGTAGTATGGAGATCAGAACTGACTCAGGGAGTTCCAACCTGGGAAGAATGGGCTCAGAGGTGCACGCATGTGCTGGGTGAGCATTGGCTGGGCTACTGACTAGCTGAACTTTGACCTGCTACATGCTTGAGGGCTGCATGCATGTTGCCTGTGGCTGTCAGAGCTCATGTTCATGCCCCAGGCAGGACTCTTTTATTCTTGTTTTCCAGGTATCTTTGGCTAGTGGGTAGCTATCAAAATGGATAGGGTGGCTCATCCCTGTAATCCCAGCACTTGGGAGACTGATGCCTGGGCTTACATAGTGAGTTCCAGATCAGCCTCAAGTATATAACATTCCCCTATCTTAAAAGTTAACCAAATAGGGGCTGGAGAGATGCCTCAGTGGCTAAAAGTGCATACTGTTTATTCTTTCAGAGGACCCGAGTTCTATTCCCAGCACCTACGTCAAACAGTTCTAGATGATCCAATGCCTCTGACCTCCAAAGGTACCACACGCACGCGCGCGCACACACACACAGCCTATGAAGAGAAGCAGTGGGATGGACAGAATCAATGTATACCATATGTATATATAGGAATAGGAAGTCAATTTCATTAATTTGTATAATTAATGGTTCAGTAATTATAAGGAAGGCAGGCATGATGCTGGGAGGTGGTGGTGCACATACACCTTTAATCTCAGCACTCAGGAGGCAGAAGCAGGTAGATCTATATGAGTTCAAGGCCAGCCTGGTCTACTGTGTACTGAAGTACTCCCAGGACAGCCTCCAAAGCTACACAGAGAAACCCTGTCTAGAAAAATCAAAAGGGGCAATAAACAAAAGGCAGGCATGGTGACACTTTTAATGCTAGAACTTGGGAGACAGAGAGAGGCAGGTGGATCTCTGTGAGTTTGAAAACAGCTTGGTCTACACAGTGAGTTCTAGGCCATCCAGGGCTCTACAGTGAGACCTTGTCTAAAAAAACAAACAAACAAACAAGCAAAAATACCCAAAGAGCTCTGGGTCATCTAAATCCTTGAAACTCAAAGCAGCTCTATGGATTTAGTGAGAGGAGAGAGTGTAGTATGGTTGCTAGGCAACTGTTCTCATGGAAGAATGCATGGGTGGGGTGGCTGTGGATGTGTAAGGGATGGGTTAGGACTGGGTAGGGGGCAGGAAGCTCAAATATTCTTTTCTCCATTTTCTTTCTGAGCTGGAGAAGAAGAGGCACATGGGTAGGAACCCTAAGGGTGGTTTGGGGGTGCTGGGCAATGAGGGAGAGCTCTTTGCTGGTCACAAGAGAGCTAAGTAACAAAGTTGGGAGAGAGTTGACTCTCAGACGATGCTGAGAAAGGGTTGAGGGTGAGCTCTTTGCAGCTTGAAAAGGCTTGAAAAGGCTTTCCTGAGAATTTGAGGACACCACAAGTAAGCAAGAACTAATGGTTGCTCAGCTTCTTCTCAAAATGATGCCTCCCCTTTCTCCCTGGAATTAGTACACCTTACAGTTCTTCCCAAAGCTGAGTATGTGAACCTGTAAAGGTATGTTACCAAAGGAAATGATGTGAGAATTCCTGCTGTGAGGGACTTCTACAGCAGTCATGGGATGCACCCTAACCCTCTCTCATTCTGTCTCTCCGAAGGCCTCGATGCCATCCAGTGCTCACTGCCCACGGAGGACCGGAGGGTGGCCCTGCGGGAGCTGTCAGAAGCCAGTTTTAGTGAGTGTAAATTCAGCCTGTCCCTCACAGACCTGTTCATCATCATCTTCTCGGGTGTGGCCGTGTCCATCGCTGCCATCATCTCCAGCTTTTTCCTGGCCACTGTGGTGCAGTGTTTCCAGAGGTGCACCCCTAACAAGGACACGGAGGATGAGGATGACGATGAGGATGACTGAGCCACCTCTTCCTGCTCTTTGCTTTCCCACACCCAGCTAGTGGTACCTCTCCAAGGGAGACAGGAGATGCTGAAGACAGGAGCCTCACATCACTCCAGGCCGCGAAAGGGATGGAGCTTGCCTAGGCACCTGCTGGGACAGCCGATCCCAGAGCATAGAATCAGCAGGGTAGAGATACAGGAAGGATGGTGAGATTCATTCCTGAGCAGAGCCCACCTACTGGGCTGGGGCACTCATGTGTGTGAAGATAATCAAGTCAGGCTTCATGGCTTACAGCTTTACAACCTTCCCAAGCTGAAGTGAGAGCTCACACAGCTTCTGATGGCAGAGATGTGTGTGCCGTTGTTATTACCAGCTGCATTATGGACTATGAGTCATCTTCCTCCTAAAAGACAGCAGAGCTCTCAGTGGATGTTCAAGTTCAGCTCACTTTCTCTGTGAGAGCTGGAATTCTTTTCCTCTACAAAAGATCCCAGCAACTTTGGGATGTTAGACCAAGAACAAGCAAATGTGCGTGCAATAGGCAATATCTGCGTCTCCCCTGCGTCGTTGTGTTGATGCCCAATACCCAATGTGATGGATGTGAGATGACTTGAGCCAGCAACACTGGGCGGGGCTGGGGGCTGAGATACCTAAGGCAGAGGTTCACAAGAAGTTGCTGGGGTGTTTTAAGGACCCATGCTTCAGGGGGTTTTGAAGAGGGCCCTTTGGGTATGACTCGGTCATAGGAATGGATTCATTCTGGGTGCCCTGATGATGCAAACTCTGGGGACCTCCCTGCTCCTTCACCAGGTGAGGCCACAGTGAGAGGGCAGGCACCTGTGAACCAGGAAGTGGTGTCTCCAAGGGACTCAACCATACCGGTACCCGACCCTCCGACTTCTAGACTCCAGAACTGTGAGAAATAAATGTTTGTTATTTATAAACCCTCACGTCCTTGGATTTGTTTTTTTTTTTTTTTTTTTTTTTTTTTTTTTGTTTCCTGGTAGTAGCAGCTCAAGGAGACTAAGACACCATATTTAGATGAAGTGTTACCAAAAATAAATAAATAAATAAATAAATAAATAAATAAATACTTGGGTTTATTAAGGGTGTTTGTAGTGCTGGTAAATAGGTTGCTGGCATCACCTGAACTTCAATACTTATCCTAAGAGGTAACAACTTGCAGGGGACAGACAATCGTTGTGTCAAGTTTTGATGGCCACTCTGCTCTGTCATTATTTCCTCTGTAGAACCATCAGGGTGTTCTCCCTCCAGAGTCCCACCTCAGCCAGTAGCTGAGTCATCTTCTAGGTTGGTATGGTCTTACACTTGGCAGCTGAAGAAGTTTTAGGAAACTCTCCCAGGAACCAGGAGGTCAATAAGCAGGTTGCATTGGATCAACAGTGTTCATTAAACAAAATAAGACAACAACAAAAATAGATGTGATGTCACACACCTTTAATCCCAGAACTCGGGAGGCAGAAACCAGCAAAACTGAGTCTAAGGAAGCAGACAGGGCTCTATGAACCCTAACACATGCCTGTAATCCTAGCCAGCACTTAGGAAGTGGAGGCAGGAGGATTGCCTCAAGTCTGAGGCTTGGCTAGGCTACATAGTGCAAGTGAGACCCTGTCTCACAAAACAAATGAACACAAACCTAACATGGGGACTTGGCCCTCCATCAGTGCATCAGTGGCCTCAGGGTGTGTGTGACATTTCCTTGGAACATAGGCTGTGACAGACTGTTTTCTGGGGTGATGAAGACAGCACTTTGCTTCAGAGACAGTATGAAGCAGACACATTATGAACCCCAGCGGGCTAATGCAAAATGACTTGTGCTGGTAACATTGAGTAGAGCTGGGGGCCGAACCTGGACCAGAAGCTCACAAGGAACTGCCAGGGTATTTTAAGAAAACACTAGCTCATTGTTTGTAATGTACACCTTAAAGGCCTGGTGCAGTGGCACACTCCTATAATCCCAGCACTTGGGAGGTAGAGGCTGGAGGGTCAGAAGTTCACAGCCAGTCTGGGCTTCATGAGATCCTATCTCAAAAGGACAAAAAGTTAGGGGGCTGAAGAGATGGCTCCTCAGTTCAGATCATTTGTTTCTCCTGCAGAGGACCCTGGTTTGCTTCCCAGCAGCCACATGACACCTCACAGCCACCTGTAATTCTAGTTCTAGGGGATCCAACATCCCCTTGTGGCCTCTAGGGGCTCCTATATGCACGTGGTACACATTAGCTCTCCACAAAGGAAGGAAGGAAGGAAGGCAGAAAGGAAGAAAGAAAGGAAGGAAGGAAGAAAGGAAGGAAGGAAAGATCTTTTTGCTTCTACAATCATTACTGAGCACTTATTGAGTGCCAGGTTCTGGTTTGTACTGGATCACATGTGAACATAACATTAGCAAAATAGTATTATTTATTTATTTATTTATTTATTTATTTATTTATTTATTTATTTATTTATGCAAGGAAATAAAACTATCACTGGGAAGCAGTAGCAAACTCCAAGAAGGAAATAAATGAAGTCCCAGGACAGAGAGTAACTCAAAGGAGGCATTCCAGAGTGTCTGGATGTTGTATGCATCAGGGATCTGAGAAACACGGTGTACATCTTGTATCAAGAGATGTAACAAAAGCTGTATGGAGAACTGACTCACATAATAGGTGGCGAGGAGAAGAAGTACCACGTTGTTCTGCAGTTGGCAAGCTGGAGACAGGAGAACTGATACTGTAGTTCAAGGCCAGGGCAGTAGAAGGTCCAGTTCAGCAGTCAGAGAGAGTGAATTTCTCTTCTGCCGCTTTTGTGATTTACTTGGGCCCTGAATGGACTGGACGATACATCATGTTGCTCATGCACTCTATTCAAGTGTTGGTTTTGGCCAGAAATAGCTGCAACAGACACACTTAGAACTAAGCAACTATCTGAGCACCTTGTAGCCCAGTCAACTGGACACATGAAGCCAACCTAGAATGCTTCTGATCGGGTTTTGGGTGGCTTCAAGCTGAATCCTGCTTTCCCTCTTCTTTTTCTAGCCTCCCTTCCCGTCCTTTTCTTCTAGTCTTTCGCTACACTCCTCTATTCCCAGAAACCTCCGTGAGACCCTCTACCACCCCTCTGCTGCCCAGCTTTACGGTCTTAGGCAGAGGGACTGACTTCTCACAGTGGCTGTGTCGGTACATAGGTAAGCAGCATCTATCTGGTTTCCAAGGCAACCTCAGCATCTTACTGGACTCTGACCCTTTAAGCAGGTAGACTTCTACTGAGTAGACCACATGAGCAAACTGAAGTTGATTGTCATATGTCATTAGGTGTTGCTTGAATTCTTATTTGTCCATCACAGATATAAGTAATCCCTTAACTGGGGACAGTTGAAAGGGCTTTATTGCATTTAGAAATAACATTGTAATAGTCTCCATTTCAGTGTCTAGGGCCCATCAGGCTGGTCCTTAAGTTGTGATGCTTCTCTGAGGGAAGATTCCCTTTCCTGGGAGATAAGTAAACAACATCCACCAATGACAAGACTAGGTAGGAGCCACAATTCCACCAAAGTTCCCCTGGGCGAACTGAGTTAGGCCCCTTTTTTTAAAATATATATATATATATATATATATATATATATATATATATATATATATATGGAGAGAGAGAGAGAGAGAACAATGGATGAATGGTTACTCACGGTTACTCATGGTTAGGAGCACAGGTGACCGCAAAGCGGCCACACTGGGCAGTCTTCACCCAGCAGGGATGATGGCTTCCCATGGCTTTGTAGACAGAGTTCTGCCCCTCATCCTTCCCCACCCAGATCCTCTAGTCTCTCCCAAGACCTTGAGGCAATAAGAAGAACTAGAGCAGCATGTACCTGGTGGGGAGGTGGCTGCACACTCCGGTGACAGTCCCATGTGAGTCCACAGTCAACAAAGCCCAGCTGTGACTTTTGCAAGTGGGTCCAGCAAAACAAAAGTCCCGATGATGGCAGCAGTTTGGCTCAGAGGATAGACCTGTACAACCGGGGGTCTCAGATTTGCCCAGCCTCCTTCCATCTCTCCACAGTCGCTCACACCCTTCAGCCTTCCATCCTCCTCAGCTTCCTTGCACAGCTCCAGCTTGTCCCAGTAAGGGGTGGGAGGCTTCTACCTGAGTCCCCTCTGCCTCCTCTTTCCCTAGATCATCATCTTCTCTTGGTATCCAGGTCTCACCTCATTATTACCATATCAGGGAGGCCTCTCCTGCCCTGCCCTGTCACCCTCTGCGATGACTAAACTTGGGTGTCAACTTGCCTGGGATAAAGGATGCCCAGGCACCTGATAAAGCATGCTTCCTGGGTATGTCTGAGAGGGAGTATCTGGGTGGAGTCCAGCCCATAGGTGAGGATCCAAGGAAAACAAAAGGGCAGAGAGAAGATGGATCCACTCTTAGCCTCCTGGAGCTAAGAATATCATATTCTACCCTTGAACATCATTTCTCCAGCCTTCAGACTCATTTGACTTGTACTGTTGGCTCCTGAGTTTCAGATCTTTGGATTCGGATTGAGACTGTGGCTTCTCTAGAACTCCAGCTTTTAGATAACAAATGGTGGTGGGACTTAGCATCCAAAATTGAGTAAGCCAGTTCCCTTAGGAAACCCCTCTGATATATCTTCACACAAACGTGTAGGCATGTGCATATGTATGTACGTATGTGTGTATGTATGCATGCATGCATGCATGTCCCATTTCTCTGGAGAACTCTAATCCCCTTACTCAACCTGTTTGGTTCTCTTCATAGCACTCATGGATGTCAGCTGGGGTGTGCTTGCGTGTGCACAATTCTTCTGAAGTATATCATAAACTGCAGGAACAAAGTCTATGATTATTCGTCTCACTATACATGCCCGGTGCAGACCTGCCTTGAACTTGGCATTACCCTAATAAATATTATATTTGTAAAGTCAATGGATGGAGGAGATGGACTGATGGATCAATGGGTTGCACTTTGATTCATGATAATGGGTGGATGGGTGGAAAGGTGTTCCATGTGGATGGATGAGCAGGTGCAAGGTTATGTAAATCTGTGGGTTTCACATGTTTTGATGAATAGATATGCATGTACATGGCCAGCTGGATAGAAAGATAAAAGGGTTGGGCACTCAGGAGGCAGAGGCAGGTGGATCTCTGTGAGTTTGAGGCCAGCCTGGTGTACAGAGTGAGTTCTAGGACAGCCAGAGCTGTTACACAGAGAAACCCTGTCTCAAACAACAACAACAGCAACAATAACAACAAAAGGGTAAAAAGATGGGTGACTACATGGGTGAGTACTTGTCCATCCAAGTAGATGGATGGGCAGATGGGAGGGTTATGGGGTGGGTGGGGATCTGGTGGGCTGCATATGGGTGGTGACTAGATAGCTGCACACATGGGTAGTAGGGTAGACTGCAGATAGGAAGATTGTGGGGAGGTGGATGGGTTGAATGAATAGGTGGGTGAATGGGTGATACATGACTGAACAGATAGATGTCTGACAAAGTTCCTTTCCTTTTCAGTGATTTGAAAGC